CATCCCAATGTGTCAAGCATGCAAGTTGTGTATATGCAGACACAGTCACCAGACAGATGCGACCATCTCTCGAGCTGAGGAGCTTTGTGATCTTAAGATCAGGGGGGCGTGTAATGAGTTGGTTGGTCAACTTGACACCCCCAACGTGAGTGGAGGTGGGCAGGTGTGTAAATTGTGATTGGCAGTTGGCTTGCTGATGTTTTGCATGGGCGAGTTACCAAGCTCTATATAAAAGGCTGGAATGACAAGGAGAGCAGTTCGTCTCAGAAGTGGAAACTGTGCCTGTTGCTACGACAGTAGGAGAGAGATGAAATTCTTTTCTTTTTTTTTTCCTTTTGTGACACATTTCAACACAAAGTTCATTTTCATGATAATGATTATATACAAAGGATTTTTATATTTTATATTTTATATTATATACAGTACCATATTTAGAGTGAGTTGATACAAGATAATTTTGGTTTGATTCTTGGATTTAAAACATTTAGTATTTTCAAACAATATTTACCTGACATTTGAATAGCTTAATTTTATTCAACAAAACATTTTTGCAATTGGCTAATAGTATATTTTAAAGTACATCTACTATTGCATACTGAAGTCAGTTTTTTTTAAAACAATGTATCTGTATAGAAGTTTAGGTGTTTGCATTATGTAAATTTACATAAATACAGTCATTGGGGTATTACCTTATAATTTATCTTAAATAAACTAAAATTAATTGAATATAAGAAGAAAGACGATGTAAAATCTTCAACATTTTAAAATATTAATGATAAAAAAACAAGTGTTAGAAACAAAGTAACACAAAGGTGAATAAGACCAGAAAGTACAATCCTTCCTTGTAGATATAACAACCAAGAATAGAGTGCTGGTCCAAATAGCAAAGCATATAATAAAAATAATTCCTTGTTTAAAAAATCCTGATAAATGTTATTTTGTAAAAAACGTTTTTACATGCTAACTTGTGAAAAGTTATGTAACAGGTACATGGTGAAAATTTCTATAGTTAAAGCAGCTGATTAGGAGGGCTATGCATAATGGACATGCTACAGTAGGCATTACTCAAAATTATAACAGTCAGCAACAGTCCATTGTAGTTTCATAACTGGATTCTGCATGTCTCATTCCATATGTGCTACAGAGGAAAGTCATGAAATCAAGTGTGTGTGTGTGTGTGTGGATCTCTTCCTGGCAAGTAGATGTCTACCTTAAGCTAATTCACACCATCAGCACTTCTACTCTGATTTTCTTTCACCTCCAACCAACATTTGTAAAGCCAAATGTTGATAGGAAATGGATGATGGCAACAGGTTTTGGTAAAACTGGAATCTTTTAGTCCTGAACCTGCATGTTGGCAGCAAATTTAATCATCAATGCCATCATCAAAAAGGAACCGATTAGCAAAGAAGAAATTAAATTCTTGGATACGAGATAAATCTGCTGCTGATATTGACATGGTGAAATGTCATGGGATTATACAAAAGGTTAATAGAGTGAATAATTTGCTCACTGGATAATCAGGGTTCTATATTGTAGTTAGCTTTAAAAACAGCATTTTTTGTCATGAATCCGGATAAGACAGCAAACTGTGAAGAAATAATGAGCCATGAATGTTATCTTGGGAAAATAGCAATATTTTAAAATTTTAATGGGTTGGTTGTTTTTAATGTGTTGCAACCAATGATTGGAAATTTGAGCACAGAAAATTGTGGAGATATATAAAGACTGAATAATAAACTCCAAATTTGCTTTAAAAATTACCTTAAAATTACTTAATAAAATGTAATTCAGAATTAGACATAAATTTCAAATTTTATATGTATATAATGAGAGCAATTTGAGCTCCTTATTCTTTGCTAAAAGTTTTCCATTTTATGATTATTTACATTGTTATTTACATTATCCTCATCTTCATTGCCATATTCACAACATTTCGGTTGTACACTCCAGCCTTCTTCAGGTGATTGAAATTTTGAACTGAACCCTTTATTTCATCCATTGGTGTAGATTGTTCTAGTTCCATGTGCCATGCCTCTTCTGGATGTCTCCATTATTTCCCTTTAACTCAACTCTCCAAGTTTTTGGTTCACCACTGCTGAAGCCTGATATTGAACTGGGTCAAGTCACTGGATCCAACCAACACTTTTATCCACTGGGGCATATGTCCTTGAGGACATCAGTGTATGAATCTTTGGAATTTATAAACTTAATATCTCAGTAAACAATTTTTAACAGAGCTCATATAGTAATTTTTGTTGTTATTATTGCTTTTCTCTAGCACTTTGTATTACTGGTTCCCATATTGTATTCATTTCTATGCTTGGCCAGCTTATGTGCTGATTCCTTAAGTTTTTGTGATGTTCGCTGTTTATTATTTCAACCTCATCCCACAGGAGTATGGCAATAAAGATGAGGACAACAGTCCGAACAATGTAAATAGTGTAAATAATTACAATAGTTCATCTCAGAAATACAGACAGCCATTTTATGATATATAATATCTTGACAGTCATTTTTACTAAATATCTTTATTTGAACATTTTGGAATATCTGCTCACATAGTTAAAATGATTACATTTTATTTAAGTGTATATAAGATTATTAGTTATAGTTTGCTGAACCTTACTTATTAATAATTATAAATGTATCTTTAGTGTAGAATATTTCCTAGAGCTTTTCTTCTGTTTCAGATTTGATGACAAGGCTTAAAAGAAAAATCTTCAAACTGGCCAGAAAAATTCCATCTGTTCAGAAGAAAATCAGTTCTTCTTTGGAGAAGACTTCTAAGGTCATTGATGATAGTATCAAGAAATCCATTAATTCTGATGCCTATATGACAGTGATTCCAGAAAAAGGTTTATCTGATGTAAGTTATAACATTTTTTGGTTACACTTCAACAAAATAGGGAAAGAGTTGAATATTTTGTAAAATTGCTTTGTTAGTCACATTCAGAAATCTTTCATTATCTACTTTGTGTTTGACACATTGCATTCATTTACATGCAAATACCCTTGGGAAAAGTATGAATCCCTCTCTTTTCCTCCTAGCTATGGTTTTTCTTGATACAAGTCTGTTATGGTCCAATATCCTCGCACCACAGTTATGGTCCAAGGTTAGAACCAAGGAAGAACAACACGAACACAAGAGTAGAATAACAAAGATATATTACAACAGAAATATAGTACAAAAAGTTGAAGGTGTTAGTAATGACTGTCTGTCTGGTTTAGAGTGAACTAATATTGTCTCGACTCGTTACACCATTCATTCGTTATACCTCTTGAGAGGCGCAGTATTTATAGTGTCAGGAAGAGTCCATTATCATTATAGGTAAGTTCCCATAACAAAGTCTAAATAGGACTTGTATCTAGAAAAATCATTGTCATTCTAAAAAAATTGTTAATGCAGTATTTACTTGCAAAAAAGATTTATTCATACAATCCCAAAAATGTGTTGGCCACAAAGGATTCATAAGCTCTAAAATCAAATCTATTAATCAGTGTTTTTGTTTGTTGTTAATGCTTTTAAAGTAATATTATCTCATGGGCTACTAATTATAAATTAGTTTGTATAAAATTGTGTACAGGCTAGTGTCATGATTTTAAGTAGATCTATATCCACTTTCTTTCTTAGAAAACAAACTGCATATTCAAATTTAGCTTTTCTTAAAGAAGGAAAATAAAAAAAAAACAATTTGGTGAAATTATTGAATAAGTGAAATAAAAATGCAGATGTTTTTGTGCAATCTTTTTAATTCAGGTACATCATACTAGCCTTCATCAAAGAGAATATTATGGACATTTCCAAGATGATATGTTCTTGCAGTGTTGCTAGCTTGTGGCAATGCAACAATTAGAAAAATAAAAACACATGTATTTAACAACATGTGCAAATAAAACTGTTGATAGTGTATTCAGAAGGAAAACTGAAAGAATGATAGATAAAGCAAGAAGAAACAACAGACTTTGATTGTTATGAGATGGATTGTGTAGTTTTGAATACAAGACAGGCCAAGTTGTGAATTATGTATCATGGATATTAAAATTAAACTTGTGGAAATTCAACTCAGTAGTCATATAATGAGAGAAAAGGTTATAAAATACACTTCAGAAACTGAGTAAGGTACTAAAGGAATAGAAAATAACATTAGAAATGAATGCAGGATTTCTGTTATGTCTAATTGCCAGTATAACAATGAAATATCGATAATTTTGTAACAAATGAAGACTTGAAGTGACTGGAGTGTGCTTTGATTAATTAATATAATAGACAGATTAATGAGAGACAAAGATGTTTTAAGGTGAATAAATGCTACAAAGAAAATGTTGTTTGCAATAAGAAAGATATGTTTTAGTGACAATAAAGAAAAAAAGCATTGAGAATTTAACACTCACAGAAGACAAGAGAAGTAAGAGGAAGCAGTTAGTAACCTACTTGACAAGTTTGAACAAATGGATGAAGGATCAAGTACCATAAAGACAAAGGTAAGTTATAAAGGAGCAAGTATAGTTGAGAGTAACAAAAGGAAAAGAAATTGTAGAGAACCATGATCACCCACATCTAAAAGAGACATGTCACATAGAGAGTGTTCTAATTTGGCTTTTATAATCTACCATAAAAAATTGGACTGTCTCTATCAGATTTTCAGAAACTGCTGAAACACAAGGGGTTACTGAGTGTGAAAGAATGAGAAAAAAGAGAAACATGATTAAAGAATGATGAAGGAAAAGAAGAGGAATCATGAAGACAAAAGAAGTTTGCTGGAAAGCATGAAGCCAGGAGAGTTTCACAAATGAGAAATGTGAGATAAGAAACTGTTAGCCTTTACAGTTGCATGTAGCCAATTCAATTGTAAATTGATGTGACCTTTTTTACCATCTAGTAATGTGCTTAAATTCATAAAGTTTGGGTACCATAGTGCAAAGTTCACCAGAACATTTACCATGAAAGTAGTTATAGAAAAAGTACAAGGAAGCTACATTAGAGCAGTGAATATGGGACTAAAGCTGAGATGCCCAGTTAGGACCAATAACATTGCAAATTCTTCTTTGGGCAAATCAAGAATATAGCAGGAACACCAGTCCATATGTAGCAACAATACTCAAAGCATGGATGAATGGTAGACTTATAAATATGTAAAATAGATTTTAGAGAGAAAAATGTTCTAGCAAGACACAGTGAACCAACTTTCTTAGCAGCAAACCTAGCAATTAATTCAATATAATCTTTCCTCTTCATGTTGACAGAGAATGTGAACTTGAGAAGGCACAATGAGTCACTTACGTGGAGGTTAGCATCGGCCATGCTGATGGACGTCAGAAAGGAGTCATGTTTTAATATAGAGAAATTTCATTTTGGAGGTGTTAAAATTAACAAGTCATTTCTTGCCCGAACAGATTGTAGGTCATTTTTGATATCAACTATCAATTTAACCTTCTCAGACCAATCAGGCTTACTACTTATTGAGACTGGAGTACTCTATAGATATACCTGTATCAATGTATTATTGATTATTATATTAAATTATATTATTTCTTTCTCATGTTTCTCTTTTTCAGTTGGTTTTCACAACCAATTAGCCCATTCTATAGTATAGGGACCTTGACTAATTTGTGGTACTTAAGGTTTAAAATGAATTTTTAAAAATGAAATCTTTCTTGAGCCTTTCATTTTGGCTTTAATTGAAAGCTAAATGATTAAATGTACTATTTCCAGTAACCAAAATATTCTGGTATATTTTGAATAGAAATTACTGGGTAAGATGGGTAAATTGTCGCCATTTTATATTTTTAATTTTGAGCATGTGCTTTGTTTGTGTTTGATTTGGTTGACTGCACTGTATAGTAGGGTCACTTGGGCACCATTTGTGAGAAAAAAAGCACCATGACACAATTCACTCAGCCAGAAATTTGGAAGTGGCTTGCACACCAGAAGGTCCAATATGATCAGAGTATTTGGGTGTCAATCTGAGGACAGTGTAGCGGATGCTGTGTCCACAAAAGATGAGTGATGAAAATCAAATATCCAGTCAACATCATGGTGTTTGGAGTGATCATTAGTGCTGGCAGTGTTATGTCTCCATTCACCTTCTCATGGGGCCTCAGACTCAACATGAAGGCCTACATCAAGTGCCTTGAGGGGGTAGTGCTGCTCTGGGTCAAGAGGGTGGCAACAAGACTCTGCACCATGCCACATAAGCAGGAGAAGCCAGTCATGGCTATCAGACAATTTCTGCAACCACATTACCCCTTACATCTGGCCACCTAACTCCCCAAAGTGCAACTCCTTTGATTATTATGTGTGGGGTGCAGTTGAGTGAGAGACCAACAAAACTTCTTGTAACACCAAAGATGAACTGAAGGTAAGGATTATGGCAGCATTAACCAACTTAAACAAAGGGACAGTCCAGAAAAGTTGCAGGAGATTCTTAAGTTGTCTGGAGGCTGTGGTTGAAGCCAATGGTGATTTTATTGAATAAATTTACTTTTGAGTATTTCAAGATATTTTTGTGTAATTTTGGTAAATATATCTGTTAAAATGAGATGTCAGCATTATTTTCGTTTTTGCATAATTTAGATGACAATTTATCCATTGCACCCTGTATATTGATTGGAATTTTTTTTTCTAAAATAGCTTTTTTTAGTTGTCTTTCATTGCAGTGTAATTATCTGTATTAAAAAATCTTCAAAAAATAAAATATGCTTTTCTGAAATTTTATTTGAGGAATACTAGCTGATTTGAAGTATAATTAATCTGATTATTTACTTTAATTTTTAAATAACACACAGAAATGCATTTTTAAAACAAAAAGCAGCTGTGTTTTTTTAACCGACATAGACATGTTTACATAATTGAACAGTGATGACAACTTTATTGTTGTTCTATGGAGACTTTATCTGTTAAAACATAATTTAAGAAAATGATGTGAACACTTTTTTATATAATTTTTAAGTACTCAGTAATCTTAAAAATGTTAGAAAGTATTCTCCATAATCTAATTTTATGAATGTTGACTTTAAATTTACTAGTCATTGCTCTTATTTTCTGATATACTCATTGCACTTATTTTCTTGCCGCCCATACTTTCAAAATGGGCACATTACGTAATATTATATATCCATAAAAAAATTTAAAAAAAATATTGGTGCATAATGATATGTATTAAGCTTTTCAATTTTTTGTTAGTAAATATAGTTTTCACTTAATAACAATATCACTTAATGCAATCAATGTAATGCAGAATTTTAAAAGATTTATGTATAAATTATTGTAATTAAAATTTTAAAAAAATATGAAAACAATTCTTTTATAAGTTCATTATTCATTGAAAAATTTTTTTTTCTTAATACAGTGTCCTTAATAAATCTTTTTGAAATCTTTCAAAAGCTTTTCTAAATAAATAATGTCAGTTTTATTGCAATTTTTATTTTAAGATTTAGGAGCAGATTTTTGGGAAACAAGAAGCAATTTGAAAGAAAAAATTGATGATTTACATTCTCCAAAGAGTTCTGCTTTTGACTAATGAAAAACATTTTGTGAATAAAATTTAATTTCTCATAAAATTTAATGAAATTAAGTAAGTGATTGGTAACATATGTAAAAAAAAAATATTTTTATGAAGATTTTCGAAAAAAAAAAAAAAAAATTTTAAAAATAATTTCATTCATATTTGAATAAGTTCTGAAAGTTTAAGTAAAATCAGACAATTATGTGATTTTTGCAACAATTTCCAAATGAATATGTTTCTTACCAGAAAAAAAGGAGGTAAAACATGAATAGTAAATATTAGGCTGACAACATATGAAAAAAACAAAAATTGAGAACATGCTAGAAAGGATTAAAAAAATAAATTGGTATTTCCTCTGAAT